ATATTTCTCAGGTTATTCATCTCCTTGAAACCATTTCTTCTGGCAAAGACACAGCTTACTTTTTAGGATTTGTTTCAAGGAAACCTGCAAAAGGTATTATCTATGCCTCAAAAAAATCCACCTCAACGTACTTGAGCTCATGCTACCTTCAAACACAACAATTCTCTGCCACTTGCACCTAGATACCCATAAGTTTACATTCTCCTTAGGATCATTAATTACTTAAAATATTATTATGAGATTTCACGCTCAACAATGAAAGCATAGTTACAAATGACTGCAGCACAGTCAAACTGTTGCTGCTGTTTCCAAGGACAGCTGACTGATCAGCTATTGAGAACTGGCCACACCGGTTCCCATATTTTGCAACAGTCACATTTGATGATTAGAGCAACCAAATGAATAATCTGTGACTGCTGTGACTCAGCATTTTACTGTGTTTTTCCTTTCTATAATCTTCTCTTAGACCAAGATGGATACCCTGCAAAAGCTTCAGGGTTTAACTGTACAACTACAGATGTTCTGAATTCTTGATTTTCCTGAAACACTAATTAAGTGCTTGAACTCCTTTTWCTTCATACACTGCTCCTAGGCAGCTGCTCTCTAGTTGTGGTTCTTTCCCCCAAATTCAACCATGCTTTTATCCCTTCCTGAAGCAGAAAAATATACACATTATATAGAAACAGCAGGAGGATATTTTAATCACAAGACTTCTATCTATGTCAGGTTTCTTATCTGGGTGAGAGTAAGCTTCGTCCCCAGAGAACAGAATGAAGGCAAGAGCCATGTTATGTGACACCAGGAATAGCAGCTCGGGGTTGCTCAACAGGGAAGAAAAAAAAAAAAAAAGTCTTGCTTTCAGCAGTCACACAACTCCTCTACATTGCTAAGACTTGCAAAAGAGAAGAGCAGCGCCAGTAGATAGACTTCAGTTTATGCATTACTGATCAAAGGCTGGAATTAATTATAAAAGCAAAAGCTATCACTGAAATGCATCAGTTYAGAGAGAAAGCAAAAATATTGGGTTCTTTGCCTCTTTGGTGAAAAATTGTTACACTTTGTGGTATACCTGCTTTGTTTGCAATTGAAAAACACCTTCATTGCAAGATCAAGAAATCTTCTGCTCCTTTGGAGACTTGTAAACTCAGCTTTTGCTGCTAGAAATGAACAACTTGGTGTGCAAGTCAACCCTTGATATGCACTATTTTTAGTATCTTTTAGGCAGAGAAACACAGCTTTTCGTTTATGCTGGAAAAGCATCAAGTCCCTTTAGAAACTTTTTGAGAATAAAGGAAAGGAACTAAGTGACACTAAATGCAAAGATGAAAGCAGAGTAAGGCAAAACTGGCCCACTGCATTTAACTGAAACAAAGCAAATGGAATGTTTAATGACATGCAAGCCAACATCCAGCAWGAAACTGTGGGTATATTTTTCCCGTTCTATCAACAACCCTGAGTTTGCTGTTCAAAAAAAAGAGAAAAAGAAAGCATAGAAAAAAGTCACACGATTAGACAGAGGCCAYCATTATAATCTTACTAATTCTGAAAACGGTTTTCAAGTTTCCTGTCTGCCAAAGCAAACAGTAAACATCAGGACCACATTTATACCCTCAAAGGCCTGTAAGCAGAAACAAAGGGCTAGAGTGAGATACAGACCAAGACAAAACTTTCTGTTCTAACAGAGCTTGGAATGCACAGCACAGTGCAGCGGTACTGAAACTCCTGAAACTTTAGAACAACTAAGTCTGTATGCTTACATTTTGTGACAGATGCACAAGAATTAACATAAAACAGTAACACTTCATCAGAAACTATGTTGCAGTCCAGAAACTGCCTTGAACTACGTCACTTCGCTTCTAACAACCATTTGCACAAGGGTCACAATTGAGAGCCTTTATCTGCATAAACTTGCAGAATGAACCACTCTCATTATCATTACAAGGGTGTAGCATTTCCAACAACACTTTTTTATCAGATGGGAAAGAAGGAGCATCACGTTTCTGTACGACCATGGGTAACAACTTTATCAGAGGGATTATTTTTGTAGCAAACCAGAAATTCCAAAGCAGATAAAACATCCCAAAAATTTCATTACACTGTCTGAAGCACTTCAGGAGGAAAAGAGGTCTCATGATGCATGTACAACAAACTGATTTTCGTTTTAGAGATCTGAATAAGCARTACGGACAATCATCTGGCAAGTCACATGGGAAGCAACTTAGTAACTATAACTATGATCCCCAAGAACTATTTTACAGGTCACCTGTGCTAAGATCTTGAATATCATCCAAGAAAGCAGCATGCTGAAGGTGGATAATCATTGCCTTGGGATGACTAGCAAACAAAGGAGGAAAAATATAACAACCTACAATGCAAGTTACCCTTAAAAGATGCCTCATTTAAAGGTTACAGATGCTTTTTGTTGTTATTTCAGTCAGAAGGCCATGAAAKTAGTAAGAAGACCACCAAACATGCTAGCCTTTATGCATACAGCTCTACGCTGCCACTGAAATTTATCTGAAAGTTTAACAAAAAGACCTAACAGTCAAAAAACTACCCTACCTTCCTCTTACAGCTTTGTCAATGTATCTTTCCTACCACATTCTACTGAGAGTTTTCTCCTACTGTATCTTTAAGCAAATCCAGATGGTCCATCAAGATGAACACTCTAACATATTTGTCCTTAAAGCGTATTGAGGTTGAATTCCAAACTCAATTCTCCACTGATCAAACAGATCCCAAGGAAGAACCAAGCTTGAGAAGACACCATTTCTAGAACTGTATTTCAACAATACGTAGTACTGTCACTACAAAAGAAGATTTAATATATGTTGAGTCAGAGAGATGTTATGCATAGCAATATTTAATATTCCAACTTTGCTGAAGTTGTTTTTTTGTTTTTAATGAAAACCACATAAAGGTTGATCAGAAAAAAAATCACACACACAATCTTCAAATAATAAAACAAATATGTAAGATGTGGTCCAAGAAGATGTCATTATTTTGGGCTATGGAGAGGCCAAACTTAACCCAAAAATAAACAGCCAAATGTAAATTTTACTTAATCCATATGTATTTCAGCATATGCCCATATTAACTTGTAACATTTCTTCTTTTAAAGGATTCAAACACTGAGATTTCAGCAGTGATAGGTGTCAAGTTGTGCAAGTAACTGTTCTAGCACAGAAGTCAGAWCTCATGTAGGCAAGATAATATTTACATTTCTTGTTTCTTCTAAATCCTATTCTTGCACTGCTCAAGATAGAAATGCACTTTTTACCATTTCATATACACTGGGATGGTAAAAAGAAGCCTGTCAGGCAATTTTTAAGAAAAAAAAATCTTAAAAATCACTTACAGTGACACTTATAATTAAAAAAATCCAAACTAACAGTTTGTTTTTCTTTAGTTAGTGTCCTTCATGCAAAGGATTTAAAATATATATGCTAGTATGTTTAGCAGTCTRGTTAATCACTTAAGTCTGGCCATGACTGCTTTTCAAAAAAACACAAATAAAAATCCTTTCATTTTCCAAACAGATATGAAGTAATTTGCATTCCATCTTTTTTTTTYCCACAAGAACAAAACATTTACTGCCTTAACCCCTAACATGCCACCTTAAAAAGAGTGATGCAAAAATTTTTACTAACTTAGYGTAGACCAAACACAAACAATTAGTAACAGCAAATAATTGTCTTTTTACTAACATGTCCATGTGTGGGCTCAAATTTACCTTTGTTAAAAATTTCATAGTAAACCAAGAAAATATGAAAGGAGTCACACTAACGCAACTTAAAGGAAAAGAAAGAAAAAAAAGCAAATTAAATGCCCTGTTTGTTGTTTGTCTTGTCCACATGGAGATAAGAAAGCTTAGCCATAGGCATTGTTTGACAGCAGCACACCAGTCCCTATCTGCAACATGTTTGCTCTCAACCACAGAAGAGCACTTAAAAGCATTAAAAAGATTGGTACAGAACTGACAGTAACTTTAGAATTAATGTAATGTTTAGTTTTTGCATCCTTTCTGAGACTGTAGAATCAACAATTGTATTAACTTGTGCTTCAACACTTTGGAAGACTGTGTTTTGCATTAACAGTAGAATTAACTAGCTTACATCACATTTAAAGTTTCTGACAGCTCCTGTGAATATTTTTTCACAATTTGACACAGGAAGACCATAGCACATCACCAGACCCTTCTGCTAGATTATAGCATAGATTATCTGGTTGTGCAGCACAGACACACCAGATATCCTCAGACGACAGTACGTGTTCATTAAAAATTATGCCTTTAGCTCTTTCTTGATCTCAAATTTGCAGAACTTTAAGTTTCTCACTAATACGACCAGTTTCCAAAACACCAGCATAACTCAGGACGATCCCTGTTATTCCAACACTCTCCGAACAACCGGCGACGATCTCCAATGCGGCACAGATTCCCCCGCAAGGGTTAAACCCGCTGATGCCGGGACTTAGGGGAGGAGCCGGGACATGGAAAGGGAGAGGAAAATGGAGAAAAAAAAGAGGGAGCAGCCCCGGGACTCACCTGCAGCGCCTGCCACCTGCGCCGCCGGAGAGCCCCGCGCTCCCGTGGGGCGGCCGCGCCCGACGGGAGCAGGGAAAGTAACAATTATCACGGTAAAAATGACAGTGAAAAAGTCCCGAAAGCGTCTCCGCCCTCCCGGCCGCGTAGTGCGGGTTAAGGACGAGCCCCGGCGCAGGAGCTCTGTCTGGGCAGGGCAGCRCAGGAGCCCTACCCAGGGACCGACTCGGCGCCGGGGAACACGCCGAACCTCCCTGCCTGTCCGGCGAGGAGGGAAGTTTCCTCCGGACACGTTAGAGGGGAAGGAAAGGGCCGTGGAATCGGGGGCAGGAGGATTCCCCTCACGGAGCGGCACGCCCCGAGGAGGGAGCGGGTGCCGGACCCCGCGGCTCGCCCCCTCGCCCCGCTGCCGCCTGTCAGGCCGCCTCCTCCCCGCCCCGGCTCCGTCCCTGCTCACCTGCCGCCGCTCCCGCCGGCCCCTGCCCCTCGGCCCGGCCGCCCCCGCCCCGCCGCTCTCCCGCGCCCGTCGCCGCCTCAGGAGCCGCCGCACCCGCCGCCGCTCCTGTTTGGGGAGGAAGCGGCCACCATGTTACTTTCTCCCCCTCCAACGCCTACAGGCGGGTCCAGGACCCGCCCCGAAAGGAGGCGGTGGCGGCGGGCCCGGGGAGCGGCGCTGCAGCGGCCAGGGGGCGCCGGCGGGAGCGGCCGGAGCCCGGGGCTCGCCCAGCGGCGGCACCTGCGGCGGGCGGCCCGAGCAGCCGCGCCGGGAGCCCCTCAGCCGGGCAGCGGCGTGGGCTCACGGAGGGTGCCTGTGCCCCCGCTGCGGCTTCTCTGAGACCTTGGGTTGTAGCAGGAAAAAGGTAATTAGAAACTTGGCTAATCACAGAATATACTAAGTTTGAAGAGACCCCGAAAAGTCATTGAGGTTCAACTCTTGGCCCTACACAGGACATGCCCAAGAATCACACCGAGAGCGTTACCCAAACRTTTCTTTAACTCTGTCAGGCTTGGTTTAGGCTTTCTCCCTGTGAAGCCTATTCCAGTGCCCAACCACTCTCTGGGTGAAGACCTTTTTTCCTAATATCCAACCTAAACGTTTTTTGATGTAACTTCTTGTCATTCCCTCAGGTCCCGTCACRATTCACCAGAGAGAAGAAATCAGTGTCTGCCCTTCTGCTTCCTCTCATGAGGAAGTTGTAGACTGTGATGAGGTCTGTCCTCACTCTCTTCCAGGCTGAATAGACCAAGTGACCTCAGCTGATTCTCATATGGCCATGATCACTTCAGCCACCTACCCAGATAAGGCTATGCTCTTCATAGGTGACTCTCATTAACCAAAGAGTGCTTGTAACATTTGCTGAAAGATAGAAAAGTGTAGTGGTATAGACCACTAATCCAGAAGAGATTGTCTTGGCCAAAGGGAAGATGGAAGATACAGTTTTTCTGTATTTTGGTGAGGCTTTTGGTGCTTGCAGCATCCTTCTGGACAAGTTGCCCAGCTTGAGAGGAGCAGGTTCTTGGTGCAGTGGATGAAGGATTGGCTGAAGGGCAGAGCTCAGAGGGTAGCAGTGAATGGGGCTACATCTGGCTGGAAGTGTGTCATCAGCAGTGTTCSTCAGGGTTCAATTCTAGGGCCAGTCCTGTTCAGCATTTTAATCCATGATCAGGAGACAGGAGTTGAAAGCACAATTAGTATGTTTGCTGATAATACTAAACTGAGGACAAGAGGCCTTGTAGAGCAATCTGGATAGATCAGAGCATTGGAAAATAATCAGTTGTATGATATCTAATAAGAACAAATGCCAGATTCAGTACCTGGGCTGGAGGAACAGTGGACTCCAGTACAGACTGGGAGAGGAGTGAGTGGAGAGCAGCCCTGCAGAAAGGGATCTGGGGGTGCTGGGGGCAGCAKCTCAGTGTGGGTCAGCRCTGTGTGCCCRGGCAGCCAGGAGGGCAAACCCCATCCCGGGCTGCATCAGACACAGCAGCACCAACCGGCTAAAAGACTGGATCATCCCGCCAGATCCAGCCATGGTGCAGCCTCACCTCCAAGTTTGCTCATTTTGGAGACAGGAAGGCTGAGGTGTGACCTCATTGCTCTCTACAGCTTTTCAAGGAGGGGAATTCCCAAGGATTTCTTCTCCCTAGAACCCTGCAACAGGATGTACAGGAATGGCTCAAAGCTACATTAGGGAAGGTTTAGACAGAATGCTGGGAAGCATTTCTTTACCAAGAGGGTGGTCAAGCACTAGAACTGACTCCTTAAAGAAGTGGTCAATGCCCCAAGCCTGTCTCTCTCTAAGAGGGTTTTGGATGGTGCTGTCAATAAAGAACTCTAGTTTTYAGGCAGCCTGGGAGTGGCCAGGCAGTTGGACTAAATGATTGTTGAAGGTCCCTTCCAAGAGAAATTATGCTGTAGTATTTTATCTGTACTACCCTTAAGTCTCTTCCTTTCTTGCTGCAGATTTCTATAACCTCTCAGCAACTGTGACATCCATCAGATGTTCCACTATGCTGGTTCCATTCAGTAACTGACAAGAAAACTCAAGGGGTGTTTTAATGTGTTCCTTTTTTTTCCCCTCGATTTTTGATTGAATAAAGTACCCTAAAAAGTCACTGAGTTGTAGATCTGCCATAAAAAATGAGATGACCATCCTTTCAGTAGCACTTAATCACTATATTGCTCAGGCCATCATGAAATTCCATCTACCCAAAGGAAAGAATGAGGCCAAGAGAACGGCAGCTAATTTTCGAACCTCTTTTGCCCAGAGAGGTTAGCTCYGATCCTTGCATCTAAAGATGTAGTGGATTTTTTTTTTTCCTGGAATACCATGAGTTTCTCATTCCATTCTGCCCTTTTTGTCTTTTAATCAAAGCAGATAATCTAAGCATCAATATTTTTTTGTTGAAAAATAATCCTCTGTATCATGCATGTCAGGCAGTTTGTGACTGTTCCTGGAAACCTATAATTTAAGAATTTTATATTAGAGAAAATAATTTCTTTTTCATTTCTATCTGAGTAGCAAAAAACTCCCCTCTGTTCAATGTAGTTCAAGGTAGTTTTCAAAAATTGTCTTGACTTTGAGTAGTCACCAGTTGTCAACTCCACACTTCAGGAAGGCCTGATCCTTCAAACTCATTGGAGCAAATAATTTGTTTATTTTGAGTTATTGGGAATAAAGATACCTTCCCTTTTCAGTTTTCTGACTGAACACTTGAAGATTTCTTTGTAGCTGCTGGAAGATTTCATTCCTTAATCCTGTAGTTGCCTTCAGTCATATGAATTATGGGAATTACATCAGAGACCACTTCATCTGCTCCAGCTTTTGTAACTGACAGGTGGAGTAAGAGCTGGGTCTATAAATTGAGTAGTGAAAATGAATAAAAGCATATTTGTCTGCGGTGCCAGGAAGTTTTGCTGATTGCAATCTGTTAAAAATTGCTTGAAGTAATGTGGTCACTGTAATACGTGGAAGATCCTGTTCACCATTTACTTTGGAATAGTTGTAGCTGTGTTCTGCAATTCTGTATAAGACAGAAAGCTCTGAATCCAAGTGTTTTTTCTTATTTACAGCTGGTTATAGTTTCACAATTTATTTGCTCAGACTGTATGGTATGGATGGGAGATGAAGATTCACAGGCTCCTTCTGGCTTTAATCATTTAATCAGTGACATACACAGATGGGATAAACATAAAATCATTCCCATGCACAGCTTCAGCTTAAAACACATATCCTGTAATTGGATTTCAGTAAACCAGTCTATTGGAAAGCCACTATTTTTTCTGAAAGTGTCAAGATTTCAATCTAGTATTGTAGACTTTTGCTAGTTACAAGACCAAAACCTAAGTTAGGCTATTCTTGCTGGAACGGTCTTCTTAAATATTAGCAGGGGSAGTATAAAGATTCCTTTTTTAATATTCATTTTTATTAATTTTATTATTAATTTTTATATTAATTCTTTTTAAATGAATTAATATATGCTGCTTAAAATACTGGCCTAAATTCAAGAATACTTTGAAATTATTCATTAAAAAAAAACCCCACCAGGTTGTCTTGATGTTTTCTGCATAAAAATGTGGCAGGATTTTTTGAGATATTTCTCAGTATATTCTTCTGAAAAATATCACATTCCCTTTCTCTGAAAAAGGCTTCAGTTAGAGTCTCTCTGTGTCCAGCTCAGAGGGCAATGGGTCTTAGAGTTGTTTTCAAAATGCTTATGATTACCTCAAGTATTATTTTTCACATGAGTCCTCAGCAGCTGGAAAAAAGAGGTTATTCCTACTAAAAGGTATTGAGCATAGTAGGTCTTGATTTTGGCTACACATAGAAAATGGGGATTTCCATAAGTACAAGACTATTGCAATGTGGTTTTTTTCTAGGACTCTCTTTTGTCTGTTTTTTGCTGTCAGATTTGGCTCTGAATTTTTTAAGCAAGTTTTTTTAGCTATTATACAACAGTCACTTCTCTATAGACCACAGAAGGTTCTGTATGCTGTTGCATATTGAATCTGACCAGTCAGCCCATGTGAGCAAAAATGCACAAACGACTGTAATTTTTTAAGTACACTCAGATTTGTGATTTATTGATCCACGTGTAATTGAAGAGATAATATCCTTTCCTAATAGGAATGGGATCTGAATATAAATTCTGTTTTAAAGTTCAGGTCGGTTTAGGATGACTCATTGTACCTCACCTACCTAAGCTGACTTTTTAACTGCAGGTACTTACTTAGGTCTTAATGGCTGGTTTTAATAACATAACCTCATTTAAAATTTATATTCCAAGAAAACTAATTTCTTGGAAATGAGAAAATTCCCTTTCTTGAGTAAAAATATGCTCAGTTTATCAAAACATTTGGGTTGATTTGATTGAAATAAATAACTACCATCACAAAGAGTAAATAGGAGCTTTTAATTTAGAGAGAAGCAATGAAAAATAATGTCTGTAATATAATGCCGTACAAACTGCATCTGGATCAGGGAAACCCCTGGTTCCCTTTCCCATCCTTCAGGCTGAAGGATGAAGAGGTGGAGAGCAGGTGGATGAGAGACTGGACATAACCCAGACATGAGTACTCACAGCCGAGAAAGCCAGTTGTATCCTGGGCTGCCTCCAAAGMAGCRTGGGCAGCAGGGAGAGGGAGGGGATTGTGCCCCTCTGCTCTGCTCTGCTCTGCTGAGACCCCACCTGGAACACTGCACCCAGCTCTGGGGTCCCAGCACAGGAAGAATATGGACCTGTTGGACCAAATCTAGAGGAGGGATGGAGCACTTCTCATAAGAGAAGAAAACAGGCTGAGGGAATTGGGATTGTACAGCTTGGAGAAGAGAAGGTTTTGGGGTGACCCAATTGCAGCCTTCCAGTACCCGAAGGTAGACTGCAAGAAAGATGGAGAGAGACTCTTTACAAGAGTGTGTAGTGACAGGACAAGGGGGAACAGCTTCAAAATGAGAGTAGATTTAGATTAGGTATTAGTATGAAATTCYTTASTGTGAGGGTGGTGAGGCACTGGAACAGGTTTCCCAGAGAACTTGTTGATGCCCCATGCCTAGGACTGTTCAAGGCCAGGTTGGATAGAGCTCTGAACAACCGGTTCCAGTG